AGATATAAAAAGTATTTCCCTTTACGTTTTTGGTGTTATGGACCGCAACGTGATATGGTATTTACTCATAAGCAGATTTGGTCAAACGATTATAAGGAATTATGACATCTATTGGACGTTTGCCATAAACCTTGCCCATGACCAATCAGCTGTTCAAGGTTATGACCGTTTTTACTACTAGTATACATCTTTATTAGCAATGTTTTAGAAAAAATGTGTTACTCCGCTGAAATTTTTGCCAGATAATTTGGTTTTTATATCAATTTATTATGAAATGACCTAGAAATATTGGAATAAATCATATGACAATTCCTGGCATATATCTAATTTTATAAACTGACATAATGTACATGATACGACGATATTAAAGATTAATTAATATGATATTAGTTATATGATAGTATTATAGAGTATTAAGTTAATTAATATATCGTGTTATTTAGTAATTCGGCGAATCCATTACGCTCACACTTAGGTACAAAATTCCAAAATGCACAATTGGAGATAAAAAAAAAACAACAAAGAAAGTAAACATTCATCCAAATAATGCACAAAACTCTAATCACTCAGTTCCTTTGCCAAACATGCCGAAACGTTCTTAGAAATTTTATAAAAACATAACCTCTAGATACGGAGTTTTATATTTATATAAAATGAAAATGCTTTCGACTATAATATGATAACCCTTAATGAGTTAATCAGAGGCATTGATGACTCTAAATTGTTGCAAAAAGTCTCGACATGCCTAAATTTTGCCAAGCATATTAAAACCAACATTGCAGAGGGTGAGCTTACCGTTGTCAACCGGATTATTTAGTTTGATAACGGTGTTTCTCATCACAGAACAGTTGGCAGAAAATGCCAAATTTATTGCGTACACTCGTGTCCAGTTCTACTATTTATTGCATTTATGTAGGTTTTATAGTCACTAGTACTTTAGTATAAGAATTTAGGCGTTTTATGTCTTTGTGACTATTCTCAATACCCATTAAAATATGTATAAATATTAGAGGTAAGAAGTACTCTTCGTGTGTATTTAATTTCCTCTATTTATTACTCTGGGATCAATTCAAAAATATTCTCTAAAATTGTATCTAAAATTAATAAACTTTAAAGATAGTCAACTCTGTTAAATTTTCGTATTTTATCTATATGCCACGCCTATTATAGGACTGTTATTAAAAAGAAAGATCCGAGTCAAATGCCTCCATCCTTGTGTACAACTTTTCCATCGCCCACTTTCACTACAGTTCTGGAGACTTGTCTGGCTCCTTAGAAAGTAGGTCTAAATTACCATAACAACCCATTATTACATTTTACTCCAGAGCAAGAATCTCCTCTAATAAGAGGAAAATATATTAGCTACAATCACCATAATGAGCAGGCGAATTTATATAGAGTTCTATTTCGAGACCTTTTGCACTGCTTTTTATGCAATGCTAGTAGAGATGGATCATCGCAAAAAAGTCGAGGCTCTGCAATATTCGGAAGTGGATGGATATTGCTAGTAGATAAGAAGAGGAAGATTGTGTCTAGTTTCCTTACTCGCTGAATCCTATCAGAATCAGGATAGGTAATTAACAAACGAATATATTGATAATACATTTTGATTAAGACTCGCATGAGAAAACAAGACATTAGACATCGTTATCTCATTTTATCTTATAAACTCTCTAGTGATAATGATTTTATTGATAGATTCGTTTGCTAAGTTTTTAGACAAGATGGAGACAAAAAAGTGGTGTGTTCTTTTTTGTTCTTTTTCTATCACCAGCACTGATTTTACAACTGTTCTGTGCCATATGGCGCCGAAGCTGAATTTTTTGTACGCTCAGGTTATCGACTTGCGGAAACTACCGTTGGAGAAAACTGGAATGGCGAACAGTATGTGATCCCCGCGTAACCCGTATGTAGAATTGACACCAGTAGGGCTATATATTTTACATTGTAATTATTGTCACTTTGAAGATAACAGAGGCGATGAATTGATAAAAGAAGCACAGGGAGACCATTGGCTTGGAAAATTGTCTATATTGTTCAAATTGTAAAGATTTTATTAAGAAGTATTTTATGTATTAAGAGAGGCATAAGACTTTTTTAATACATAAAATAAATAATATACGTATACATAACAGTAATAGTTCTGCAGAGACAAGTAAAATAGAGAAAATAAAATAAAGTATTATTATTTTCACTGATATTAACGTAAATGACTTAGTGACTGCAAAATATTACAGAAAACATCCAGCTACCTTTACGAGATGCACTGATGATGATGATATTATAGGTCCTATTCCCTATTGTAAAATTCCAAGTGAAAGTTATAAGATTGGTGGTGAATGGTGATAAGCGACAACCAATCTTGAATTTATATCGACTAGTAAACCCATAGAAATTGTAGAGAAAGTAATAATATAGGTATTTAATTGTACCTTTCAGAAAATGAGATTTTCAATTCGAATAATTTATTATATGTACACGAAGGTTTAATTAAAATATTTAATTTTCATAACACTTTAATCAGTATTTTAAAATCTATTAATATTTAAAGTAATAATATTGTAATTATAAATCAAAATAACTTTCGACATATTATTAAACTAGTAGCATTCAGAAGATTTGCTACTCTGTAATCTAGGTAAGTAGCTATTACATCATAATAACGTGGTAAATATGTAAACATGAACACAAAGAAATTTAAAGAATGTAGATGTTTAACTACGCAATAAACTAATGAGGTTCAACAAACAGTGACATAATAACCGCGAGAATAACTATGTGGTTACTAATAAAATTATCTTGGACAATAATGTTAAAAAGTGACTTATGAAAATTAAATAATGCAAATTTTCGGTTTGTAAATTTTGAATAAAAATTGTTGAGAACACTTACTTACAGCTTTTAAATTTTGTCATCCAAGGGTATATAATTAAATATAGCTGTAATATTGCAATATATTTGAATTTACATCGTGCCTGCGATCAAACCGTTTACAACTAGTCCTCTCCATCCAAAGGTTGCCTACAACTAGAAGAACTTTTAGTCATAAGACAGACCATTTTTCAACTATAATTATTTGGAAAAAATAATTAAGAGCATCTATTTATATTTTTTATAAAAATAAACAAAATAATACACCTATATTATTACTCGCAGTTTTTAATTATCATGAAAGTACTTCTTGCATTTAGCATATAATAATTTTTTTTTTTATTTTTGACGTGTAAAAAATTTGGATAAACTGCACTGTTTATTGACTCACAAGAAACTCCTGAATTCCACCAGATCTCATTCAAAGCAAGCTTGTCTTCTGGTAGTTTTCGAAAACAAGTCTCAGCATTAATAGCAGACACTTGCTTCAGTTTCTATTTGGTCTTATGGTAGAAAGGGAAATCGAAATAGAACCTAATATCAAACGACCAGGGAGAGGGAGGTTGTTAGTAATGGGGATTAGCAGCCCCATTGCTAGCAAAATAGTGTTTTAGATCAACCTCCACCCGATTCTCCCTGGAAACCATCGCGATTGATTCTTATAAATTCATCACGATGGGCTAACTGGCCTGGATCATTTTCACCTATCATCCATCACTGATACCTCAACAATTTATTCTGATAGCGCAAGTGTTACCATTTATAAAAAAAAATACCAAACGGTCAAACTCTACCCGCGTAGTAACAGCAAGGAAATAATATCCTTCTCTTATGGAAAAGGTTCGTACCCAGCAGTGAAATATTAAAAGATTGTAATGATTAAAATGATAATAATCATGTGCTAGATCTATCTTGTATGACGATAAATATATCGTCTACTATTTATACAAGTGTTTACGTATAAAATTCTTATTTATTTTTACCGCCGTTCAATGTATGTTAATTAGGTGACAGAGAAATGGTTTATATATGTATGTTACGTCTGGAAATTTCGTATCTGAATTTTTTATAGGACAATGTGTAGAAAGAAAAGTCTTCAATACAAGAGATTTTTCAATCGACGTCAAAAAGAAAGGTTCTCATTTCGGTTGTATTATGTTTAAGTGTTACATCATAATTCCGTTAGTTATAAACTGAAAAAAATCGATATAGAAAATTCTTTTTTTTTTTTATATGATAGGATATGTTTATACCTTGGTTCCATAGAAATGTTAACAAAATCGGTTCAGTAGTTTAATTTTGAAATAAAGTTTTTTTTTTTTATGTGGAACACAGTCTTATCTAATAACATTACAGCTATAAGCTAACTTACAGAACGTGTTATAAATTTGCTATCGCATGGCAAAATTTGCATCTCCGGCAAATATTTCAGAAGTGTTGATTACTGGATTATATATAAACTTCCTGAAGGTGATTGAATAATCATATTTGTAACAATTGAATTAATGCAAAGAAGGACCGTTTATGATTATAATTATTTTGTAGCATAGCAACAATATTGAAGGTAATCTTTTAATGATTAAACTGTAAACCAAAACCGAATCACATTTTACATAACAATGTAGAGTTGCCATAGCGTTTTTATTGTATCAGACCTTGGACCTTTGATCAGCGACAAAGGTCACTCTGTAGCATCTTGTCGCATACATAGATGTAGATACTTATAGGATGAGAGCGAGAGAGAACAAGGCCACCTCAGCTGGTGCTGGATGTCTCTACCACGCATGCGTATAATTATTTATAAACGTTCGCGGTTTTTATAACAAAACAATGCATGCACAGCGAGAGAAATTGTAAAAGTTGGCGCTATCGAAACTCCAAATGCCTCGGAGCATCGCTCAGAACGGGGTCAGTGGCTCAGCTGTTGCGTGTCGCGGGCTCTTTGTTGGCACAAATTCGATGCGTACACACTTCTCGTGATCGGTGATTTGCTAAGTATCGGGGTGCTTTGCCAAAAATAAAGCTGCACTGCAGCAGTGAGCTTGCAGTAGCAGACTGCGGTGGTGTCGGGCACATCGTGATGTCGAGAGGTCGATAGCGGGTGCCGGCTGACGGGCACTCCACTCCGACCAGCCAGTGCCGCCGCGCCTTCTGTCGTGTGCGGATGTAAACCGTTGACGTCACCGGCGTTCTCCTACATCCTCCGCACTGTTCGCTTGACATTTTATGCGCATAGCGCGCAGCGCAACCGATTCGCCCGTGAAGCTTTATTTATAAACAAATTGTGTGTTAATAATATCATTCAATGTCAATACCGATTAATTTAATAATATTAATACAATTGTGTAATTTGTAAAATGCGATGATATAATTTCTTTATTGTCATCGTAATGTGAAAGCGCACGTGATAATTAATGGTGACAGGATGTTATATAAAAATGCGGTAGGCAAGTCATTAATGGACCAGTTATTTTGTGAAGTGACATTGACCTTTTATGGAGAACAATACCGTTATATACCTAGGTATATACAAAAATTATGACGTTCTCCTAAAGCTTGCATTACGCACTTTTAAGTGGGTACTTATAATTGCGATATTTAGCAATCTAAAATCATGATCATCGTCCACATTACGTTTTATTACTTACCTATTAGGTGATGAATGTTTATATTGTATATTTATTTAAATTCCTGAAAATTTGTTTTTCGCATATTTGTTGAGTTACGCATATTTGCACATGCACATAATATCTTTACTTTAGGCAATAAACTGTCTGTCTAAGACTTATGACAATATAAATTCAATGAGTAAAGACAATTTAATTATAAAATAGTCCTTGCAATACCTTTACTACTGCATCTTTAATTTATTCATTCGGTTGCATTGTAAATTTCGGAAAGAGATAATTAAGTACTTCTACTATTTAAAATTCCAAGGCCTAGTAGTCACCTTTGCAATTTTAGTACCTAGTGTCTAGTAGTTGGTTGCGTAAGGGATATATTTTTGAATACTGGGTTAGGTTCTTGGTGGGACCAATTTAATATTGTATGTGTTATAATGATCTAAGTTATACCGATAGATGTCGACGTCTGATTTCTTACATTATTTTAAGACCAAATTGTTTCCATGTGTATATTTAACAATTATAGCAGGTAAGAAATTGCGGATAGACACAAAAGTTACAATACACTACAAAATAGTATCAAATTGAAAATATAAAACATAAAAGTTAAGGAAAAAACCCCATTTCCAATAAAAAATAGATATGGGGCTTTTGAACTTCCGTGCCTACCATTTATTCATGAATGCTTAGTCATATGAACTTTTAACTTGAATGGACTACTCGCGTGACGAAAGATTCCACTGTCATTTTAACTTATTAATTCTTTAGGTATACTTATATACTTAGAAAGAGAATATTTTAAATCTCTGATAATTAGATTAGAAAAAGTATGTCAGTACGCTCAATCTATGCTTGTTAATATTGTTTTAGTTTTAAGCGGTTTCAAAAATAGAGATTATTAATTCAAGTTTGTATTTTTTTTATGTTAGGTATGTACCTAATTATATACAAATTAATATCCACTTAGATTCTACATACGCGATATTTTTGCTACTCGTAAATGTGCACTGATTTTGATAATTCCTTTTGCAATCGATATAGCTCGTGTTAATTTATTAATTGCGCGATTGATTCTGCGTTTTCTAGATCATAATCATACTTGGCGTAACTTATACGATTTGCTTTTTAATAAATTTAGTGTATCTGTCATTAGTGTGATTACCTACACTTAACCTAATATTCTACTTAGAAAACAATTACATAGCTATTACGCATTCGTATAATCTCGGTGCTTGCTTTAGGTACAGTTTTAATTAGTATTTTTAGTAACTTTTTACCGTGACTTCGTTCGCATGATTTATCAATTTTAAACTCAAATAATAAACACAAACTTACCTATGTGGCATAAGTCAAGCATAAAATTTTGATGATTATCATTGTCTCATGCTACATGCATCGTTGGTCTTGAAGAGACCAGAATTTTATAACCTGTCGCATTTGATAGAAACAATTCCATTGATACCTTGAGATATAGTCATATCTCAAATAAAACGCTTTGCCAAAAACAGGTCAACTTTTTATTTATGTATGTATTCATTAGGACCAATCTTCTCTATCAATAAAGTTATGTCTTTGCCAATATTTATACGAAATAATCTGATAATACATGTAAATTTTGAAGTAGCAACTATTCATTTTAGTATTCCTATTTACGGATATACATAATGATATCGAATTAAAATGAAACCAAAATCGTTATATAATCGTTAATAGCGCTACATAAAATAAAAAATCTACACATGCTAAAAACATATTACGACAGTATTTAGGAAACCAAAAATTACAAAAAAAAAAAACAAAAGAATTAGTCTCCTACACTAACCCACCAACTGAACAGGCTGTGTTTTAGTAGGGGGCTCAAGATTTTTTTATGCCATTCAATTCCTGTTTCTTTAATGAAAACTATTTAAGTTTTACTGGTGGAAGCGTACATTTACGGGGAAATAAAGATTTTAAATCTGTATAAATAAAAAAAGATTGGCCTGTTTTGGCAGTGTTTATATTAAGATATTACATCTAGAAGTAAGGTACATGATTAATTTTATTACATGCACACTACACGTCTACGTCTTTTATAACTTTTGCTTAATGCAGTATAATCTTCAATTAAGGTCGCATGGTTATATTGTTAGTTATTTTTGAGGCGTTAAGTAAGATAATCCATAAGGGATTATCTTATTGAAAAGCATTTTTAATTTATTTTTAATCTATTGATGGATTCAGAAAGTTTAAATATGTTTATTTATTCTTTATTTTACTATAAAATAGATATAAATGGCCAATGCCTTTTTGTCTGAAATATAAAACAATTTACAGTAGTGAGACAAAACTGTGACTTAAGCAAAGCATTAACACCTGACATAACTCAGTATCGATGTGTATAGATAAAAAAATCCATCAATTGCATTGTTTGCAAAATTTTTTTAATATAAACACATTTTGATTAGATATCCTACCATCGTAATATGATGAATTAATAATACCTATTCACGTACCTACTTGAGACCTGTTTCCAAATAGTATGAATGTGAGTTATCAAGGCCGTCCTGTGGCTTCTCAAATGTCTCTCACATACAATTTATATGTTATTGTGCATCATTATTGCATCTGTAGAATCTATTTTTTATTATTGAAATTCTAACTTATCAATTGGACTTTTCCGTTCAGACTATATTACAATTCATTATAATAATTATCTTCGTATTAAATATGTGTTTAAACACAGATCATTTTATTTCAATACTATTATTTAATGATATATGTAGATAATATTACATTTTAATACAACATTTGGTCAAGTAATTTAATTACACTGTAATATACATGATTTTAAGATAGTTTTAGACTAAAAAAACAAAGGTTTATTACAAAGGCACAATTCAAGAAGTATCAAATAGATAGATACCTACTTTTAAAGTTATTATTCCTTGTAGTACTTTTTTTTGTTCATAATGTGTTTATGTAATACCTACGGCATATACAGATAGAAAATATTACGCGTCGTCTTGAGGCTTCCCCCTGCAGGTAAAAAGTAACAAAAACTCTCTTTCATATTTATAATATTGTATTTATTATATCATATTTATAACATTTCACCTAGACATAAATAATAAATACATGATTTGACGCAAATAAATTTTTATACTTAATCTTATTCATTTAAAACATGTATTGTACTAAATAACGAAGTATATTCCATTCGGACGTGATTCTACATTAAAATGTGTCTTGTCTAATAAAAAAATGAGGAAAACTTCAACGTCATCGTAAAAAGTGTCCATTGTAATTAGTCACACGGTTAGGACGTGCCTTAATTTCAATATTCAAGAGTTCCCACAGTGTTGGTTGTAAACTAAATGAGGGTAATGACCTTTCCTCATGAGAGTATTCTTATGTGAATATTCAAAAATTAATGTAACCTCCAGTGTAACAAGACTGCGGTAGCTGCTTATCATCGGAGCAATTGTCCTCGTACTATACGAAACAACGAACGGGGTTACTGAACCCGATCGAATTGGTATCAAATCGAAGTCACATCGAATAGACGTCAAACGGACGTTGCCTTATACTATGTTTGAAGACTTTTCGATGTGATTTATTCGAACTCAATTCGATTCGACGCTCTCTCGCAGGAAAGTCATCATGAATTCCGTGACCATCAGTTTCTCTGGCATGTCCTAGGAATACTTGTAAAAAACAAGCAAATCTTATATTCATCATTATAATTTCATAAAATTCTTACACAATTTTTAATTACACTCCTCATATACTCGTATCTATACTTACCCATACTCAATATATCTTCCCTTCACTCGCATGATACTTCAAATATAATATATTAAAATACAAATGCTAAAATTAATTTTAATATCACAATATGTACTTATGTCTAATATAATAATTTAAGGTATTTTTTGCCTATGACAGTTAAATGGTGAAATTCCTAATTGAATAATACTAGAAATTTTGTATCAATGTATGTTAAAGAAACTATCACTCTTAGTCATCGTTTTGGTGATGAGAAACATTTTGTTCAAACATACCAAAACAAATTCGCATCGCTCGCCATAATAACCCTATTGGCATTAGCTTCGAATTTATAACAAAAAAGGAACAATAGATATACGTTATGCTCAATAAGGTAGTCACGATTATCGATAGACGATAAACAAAATAAGACCTTACATACAGCCTATTATAAAATCCGTATCCAATTTTCTAAATCCGCGATACTTTGTTATAAATGAATAATTAAAATTCGCACGAAATTGGGAGGATTATCCTTATTTTTTTTAGATTATAGCTGACCCTTTCATTCATTTTTAATGGATTTCATTTATATAGTATACTATACAGCGTGAAATTCATATCGTTATCCTTTGAAAGGAATGCTTTACCAGCAAATTCGAACGTTTTCACCAAAGAAACATAGATCGAAAGACGATAAAAAATTTTGAGCCTCCCATATGACTATAGAACGCGTTCAGCTGGTTAGTTATTATATATAGTACACTAAATTTAACATATTTTATTGTTTTTTGAAGTTTCTGTTCTAGTAATTTCTATAGCACAGGTACAGTTAGACTTCTTTAATAGACGATACAGTTGATTATAGCATTTTGTAAGAAAATAAATCAAACACTATTTTAATTTTGATTATCCTTTTGTCGCAATCATAGGTTTTCTTATATAACTGAATTTAGATCATTATGAAATTATCAATAAATTACCACTTCTGTAACATTTGCATAGAGTTCGCAAATAAAAAAAACACTATTTAGGCACGTTACTTCTTGTTCTTTTAATAACTCCACGTTTTTGAAATTATTTGCCAACGTAGTGAATGTATGTTGCTTTGCCACTATGTTCCGAACATTTTTTGGATTGTTTTTTTTAAACGGTTTAAAAAATTTGTGTACCTAACGAAATTTTACTCGTCACGTCGCCGGTC